CCCCAAAACCCCAAAACCCCAAAACCCCTCTTACTAATATTTGGTTTTAATGTTGATAATTAAGCATTATAATTTTATTCTAATTCTATATTAAAGCTTTTAAGATTCATGAATTACTCACCGTATTCAAGTCCATACCCAACAATGTAGCAGCATCCTGGGGGATTCTAGCAAGGAGTCTAGCAAGGAGAGCTGAGATTGAGAGTAGTGCAAGCTAACATGTACAGAGACACTGACTGGTTAAAGTAATTTTGTCTTTTGTAACAAGTGCACAGAAAAATGGATCCTTATGTAGTCATAGAATACCAAGGCCACCAGTTCAAAACTAGAACTCAAAAGAATGCTGGCAAGCACCCTATCTGGAATGAGGTATATAGAATGCCATATGTTGATTGTATATTACAGGAGTTCAGTTTATTTGTTACAAACATGCATGATGAGATCAGAATCAAGGTGATGGATCAGGATTTTGGACCAGATGACACTGTAAACATTCACTTTTAATTATATTATTATAGGTCGGAGTTGCAAGTATCAAACTTGCAAGTTTATGCTAAGGTAATGGATTAAGAGACTGGGTAAGAATAAAGATCTTTTTAATATTATTTTAGTACACCCTAGATTATAAAAGAAAAGCTGCAGGTTAGATTCTGTAATTAAAATTTTATTCCTTAATTGTTTAGACTTGAATCAAGATTCATTAATAATGCAGGACAAATGGGACCCTCACACTATGAATAGTATGGATAGATGACTGGGAATCCTTATGTAACTGCAGGTGCTATCCCATACGCATCTACATCATACCAATAATCATATATCACTCCTCCACCATCAGCTCATCATCATATTCCTTTCGTTCATCATCATGAAAACGTCTATTCAGGAGGAGTTCCAATGTACGGGTCAAATACACCTAGTCATATTCAATCATTCTACCCAGGCCAATATGCTTATAACTAATACAGACCTATGCATAGTACTCCGCAATTTTATTGAATAGCTGGAACATAAAATGATTTAATTTCTTGATGAATCCTTGATCTTTATCTTTAAAGAATGATGGGGTTTTGGGGTTTTGGGGTTTTGGGG